TATTTGTCTTAATAATAAGAGGTAATACATAGTAGGAGTAGAACTTCCAACTTTGTTCTTCAAAATTCTCTTGGCTATTCTTGGCCTTTTGCAATTATACATGACATTTGAAATCAGCCAGTCAATTTCTACCCAAAAAAGGCTGGGATTTTTACTGGGACTGAAATGAATCTACACATCAATTTGGGAAGAACTGACATGTTTGCATCAGTAAGTCTTCCTAGCCATCAATTTGGTATAGCTCTCCATTTATTTAGGCTTTAATTCCTCTCAGAAATAGTATACAGTTTGATATGCAGAGATCTTGCACTATTTTAGATTTATTCCTAAGTATTTAGTTTTGTTATTATAAACTCTATCATCTAAAAATTTTAGATGAGGGGCGCCTGGGTGGCGCGGTCGGTTAAGTGTCTGACTTCAACCAGGTCACGATCTCACGGTCCGTGAGTTCGAGCCCCGCGTCGGGCTCTGGGCTGGTGGCTCAGAGCCTGGAGCCTGTTTCCGATTCTGTGTCTCCCTCTCTCTCTGCCCCTCGCCCGTTCATGCTCTGTCTCTCTCTGTCCCAAAAATAAATAAACGTTGAAAAAAAAAAAATTTAAAAAAAAAAAAAATTTTAGATGATATTTGTAATATAGGAATACAATTGAGTTTTATATATTGACCTTGTGTTTATCTTTTTCCTTGCTCTTAATTTACTCCTGCATCTGTGCTTCCATCTGGGATCATTTTTCCTTTAGCCTGAACAATTCCCTTTAGCAATTTTTTGTGTGGGTTTGTTGGTGGAGATCTTTCTCAATGTTTGTTTTCTAAACACATTTTTATCTTAACTTCATGTCTGAAGGATATTTTGCTGGGTATAGAATACTAGGTTAGCTCCTTCTAAGACATTATTTAACTTTTTATAGCTTTCCACATTTCTGTAAAAAGTGACGTGTGTCTTATTATTCTCTTTTGAAGGTAATGTGTCTTTTAATGCATATTATTTATAGATTTTCTCTTTGCATTCTGCCCCAAGGATTTGTGGAGGAATGTTGCATGTGCAGCTTGACAAGGTGAGCTAGTATCAGTCTTTAAGATGTGAGGCCTCCCTCTTCCTCCCAGATATCAAAAGCCATCACAGCTTTTCAGCAAAAGTACCTACATGGACTGTCCCTGTTCCCTTTAGGAACAAGTCCTTTTGCCATCCACCGCATGTATGAGTGGGAGTAAGGTTGAGAGGCTGCCCCACCTGTCTCTTCTATAGCCGTACCTCAATGAATAACTCACACATTGTTCAAGGACCCTACTGATACCAATAGTTTTTTTTCTCTGTACATAGAATATCCCCAAAAGCCATCTGCATTTCTGCATTAAGCCTATGTTATGCAACTTTTGTCTGTCTACCTTCAGTCCAATCCCATCTGTTTCCTATTTTTTCAAGGATTCTCACAATGTCTGGTCCATTGATAGAACTCCTTCATGTTTTTTTTTTTTTCCAACGTTTATTTATTTGTGGGACAGAGAGAGACAGAGCATGAACGGGGGAGGGGCAGAGAGAGAGGGAGACACAGAATCGGAAACAGGCTCCAGGCTCTGAGCCATCAGCCCAGAGCCTGACGCGGGGCTCAAACTCACGGACCGCGAGATCGTGACCTGGCTGAAGTCGGACACTTAACCGACTGTCTTCATGTTTTTCAATGTCAAAGTATGTGCATGGATACACATGAGTTTGTGAACCCATGTAACTTGTTTGTAATTCTTAGACTTGGGAAAGAAGGGAGGAGTTGGGAGAGGCAAGAACTTGCTCTCAGTTGGCCATCTTGATTCAATCTCAGCTAAATTTTTAAGCACATATTGAACTCTTTTAATACCAAACACAGACAGCTGCTAGTATCATATGATCTAATGTGGAAATCTCTGGTTCTGAAGTGATGTCATATTAAGCTATTTCAATTTAGCATGGTCTCCATGCTAAAACTGGCATCTGCATGACACGTGTGAATAAATTTCATTTTCCTTCATGAAAATTACCTTTAAAATTTTTTTTTAATGTTTATTTATTTTTGAGACAGAGAGAGACAGAGCATGAACAGGGGAGGGGCAGAGAGAGAGGGAAACACAGAATCTGAAACAGGCTCCAGGCTCTGAGCTGTCAGCACAGAGCCCGACGCGGGGCTCGAACTCATGGACTGTGAGATCATGACCTGAGCTGAAGTCGGACGCTCAACCGACCAAGCCACTCAGGCGCCCAGAAAATTACCTTTTAGATATTAATACTAGATCTCAAAAGAATTGAGAGTTCTCTATTACAGATTCCTACTAACATATAACAGTAACAACACAAATAATATTTTTGCTCAACTATAACAAAAAACAGTATTTTTAAAAAATAGCTATTTTAAAAACTTTGTTAAGTGCTAAAATTAAAAATAAGAAAGAGCAACTCAGATCTTGAGGTGAAAAAAAAAAAAAAGAAAGATCCTGAGATGTTATTTCTCTGTACTCCACCCTAAAATTACTCAGTCAACAGACTCTTCTGCCAATACTAATAAATTCAGGAATAATTTATCACTGATTTACCATTGATGTTACAGTGTAAATTCCAAAATTGTAAATCTAAAATAATCTCCAATTGGTTGTACAATAGAAATTTTATATAAACACATGCAATCCCAAAATAATATAAACTCTAAATATTCAGAGCTAAATCTAAAGAGTTCAACAAAACACTCTTTTAAAAAATATTTAGGAGTACCTGGGTGGCTCAGTCAGTTAAGCGTCCAACTTTAGCTCAGGTCATGATCTCATGGTTCGTGGGTTCGAGCTACGCATCAGGCTGTCTGCTGTCAGCACAGAGCCTGCTTCAGATCCTCTGTCTCCCTCTCACTGGTCCTCCCCAGCTTGCATTCTCTCTCTCCCTCTCTCAAAAATAAATAAACCTTAGGGGCGCTAGGGTGCCTCAGTCGGTTAAGTGTCTGACTTCAGCTCAGGTCATGATCTCAAAGTTGATGGGTTCGAGCCCCACGTCAGGCTCTGTGCTGACAGCTCAGAGCCTGGAGTCTGCTTCGGATTCTGTGTCTCCCCCTCTTGCTGCCCCTCCCCTGCTCATGTTCTGTCTTTCTCTTTCTCTCTAAAATAAATAAACATTAAAAAAAAGAAAAGAAAAATATTTAATGCACATCTAACATGTCCTAGGTGCCATTCTAGGCCTGGGATATATCAGTGAACAAAAGAGACAAAACCCCCTGGTTTGTGTTTATGTTCTAGTAAATACATATAATTTGAATGATCTAAACTTTGCCCTTTCATCCAGAAATTACTAATAAGGTAGATAAATGCTTTATGCCCAAACACAAATATGCATGTTTCTTCTATCAGTCCATCACACAATCACATGAAAATATATTTGACTTACAGCTATAAAATAAATAAGTCACAGAGATGAAAAGTACAGCATAGGGTGTATCAGTAATATCATAATGTTGTTGGGTGACAGATGGTGATTACACTTACCATTGTGAGCACAGGATAATGTATAGAATTGTTGAATTAATATGTGGTACACCTGAAACCAATGTAACATTTATGTTAACCACACTTCAATAAAAACTAAGTAAATAACTAAATAAAAATACGTTTGAGAACATTTATACCCAGACACACATTTAGCTACTGACTTCAAAACATTAGAATATCAATACCTTGTCAGAGAATGTGAGAAAGGTCAGGGATCCTAAAATTTATCTGCCTATGTTTTTCACCTGGAAAAGGAGGTAGTGGCTAGAGGTTAGGTAAGTATACCAGATTTTAAGTAACTCCTACCAGATCTCAGTTTCTACCTCCAAAATAAGCAACTGAAATAATACAGATGTTAGACCTGTGCAGACTGAGGAAAACATTGGGTCTTAGCTGGAGCAAGATTTTGATCATACAGAGTTGCACTGTCCAAATGGTAGCTGCTAATCACATGTAGTTATTTAACTTTGAATTAATGAAAATTTTAAAATTAAGCTCCTAAGTCAAAGTAGCCACATTTCCAGGGAACAGCAGCCACATATAGCCTGATTATATATAGCCACATATATAGCACTGAACATGCAGATAGAGAACATTTCCAACATTGCAGAACGTTCTATCAGCTGGTGTTTCAGAGAATGAGAAGAAAACACTGCCACTCCTGGGAAAGACCAAGACTTTCCCAAGAGGGCTACAAAAAGTGGCGACTATAATAGCAAAAACTAATTTTTCTTCTCTCTCCCTTGGCTATTTCCATCCCTGCTTCTTCTAGAAAATCTGTCTCTCCTTTCTTTACTCTTTCTCTCCCTCGCTTCTCACATTTTTTCCTACCCCATTTCTCACCCCCTTCTTTATTTTTTCTAATAACAGCTACACAGTCCACAGGTAACGATTACAACATTTATTGAGGTTTAACTTTTTTAATATTTCTCAATGTTAAAATTTAAGAAGCCGAATCTTTCCGTTTCCAAAAAATACAATATTTAGAGGTGACTTTATTTTAAGGTATATATGAACTTCAGTGTATTTTCTTCCCCGAGATCATTATTTTTCCTTAGAAAGAGTTTCTCACCTTCAGAACCCCGGGTGGAAGAGATGTACAATTCTCGTTCCAGCCTCTAGGGTTTCCCTCTATCGAGGAAGGCCCCAGTCCTGTGGGCCGCGACGCCGGCGCCACACTCCGAGCCACCTGTCTTTCCGCTGACCTTCTACTGTCACCTAGCGGAGAGGAGGGGCAAGGGCTCCTCCGAGAGTTTGGCCGTTACCAAGCGACGGAGGCGGGGCGCGGCCGGCCTAAGGAGGAGGGCGCACACTAAAAGCTGTTAAAAGAGCTGTAACAACGCCGCTTTCTATTGGCTGAAAAACTCTCGGCCATAGCCGTGAGCCAATGAGCAGGTGCATGCGGAAGACGTCAGACGCGATGCGACTCCTTCCACCGTCCTCCCCCGATGCGCCTCGGGACCGCTGAAACCCACTTTAAACTCGTGGGGGTCTTGACTGCTCCCATGTGCATCTCGCAGTTCATGCTACTGCAGGTGTTCTTCCTGATGGTTCCCGAGGGCGTCTGGCTTCAGCCTTCCTCTGCGTCAGGGGCTGCACCCACCCCTTCGGACGTGGGGCCAGCGTCGCCTGGAGGGACCCTTCAATCCTCGGAGGGATCTGAAACTCCCTGGCCTGTGCCTGGAATCTCTACGGTGGGCCCTACGGTTGTGACCCCCTCTGCACCTGAGAATGGGACCGTAGACCTCTTTCCAGGTGAGGGGAGGAGATGTGGGGATGGAAAACCACTGCCTTAGATCTAAAATTCTGTGGAAAAAGTGGATTGCCACTAAGTGAGGAGTGGGACTGTCGCAAGATGGGAATTCGCGCTTGGAAGTTTGGGAATCCTCACCCCATTCCCTCTGCTTTACCTTCATAGCCTTACCGGTCTGTGTCTGTGACTTGACTCCTGGTACCTGCGACATAAATTGCTGTTGCGACAGGGACTGCTACCTTCTCCATCCGAGGACAGTTTTCTCCTTCTGCCTTCCGGGCAGCGTGAGGTGAGCTGCCGTGTGTCCGTAGAATCCTAAAGGAGATTGAGACCCTGTAGGGTCTAATTGTAATAAGTCATGTTTGGAAGTAGGAGGAGTTATCCTTCCTGCCTTCCACCCCCACTTCCACTTCTGTAAGGAGAATTACCTTGGTTTTTCCCAGGAGTGAAGTTACTCCTCGGATTCTCTAGAGTAGGACCCTCCGATAGAATAGGACCTTTGTGTTGTCCTATGGATGCCCAAGGAGGCCTCTCTTAGGCATTGACTGACATCCATGGGGCACATCCTTTGGGCCAAACCCTCCACTTCTAAATGTATCTCTTCTTCGTCCTATTTCCTTTCAGGTCTTCGAGTTGGATGTGTGTGGACAACTCTCTTATCTTCAGGAGTAACTCCCCATTTCCTTCGAGAGTTTTCATGGATTCAGGTGGAGTAAGGCAGTTTTGTGTCCTTGTGAACAACTGTGAGTAGAAATGTATTGGCTGTTCATGTTACCTAACATGACTTTTTTTTTTTTA